TTTGTGTTTTTGTTGACAAACGTGGACTGTCCTTGAGTGACTGTAACTCTTGGAACTTATAAATTAGATTGCCACATAGTGTTTATTAATGCAATACTTCATTCATTTGGAGACTCAGCTAAAAATTTTCAGAAGGTTAGATGCTATCCAAACAATTTAGTATATTGTGAGATATTTAAAATTCCAAATCTGCTCTCTCTGTAGATATGTTTAGTTTCTTGTGTGACTAATGACCAGATGAGTCACCAAGTTGAAAGATTGTTTTTCATTCTGTTTTACAAGCATATCATCACAAAGCTCTGAATAAAAAATAAAGTTGTGAATAACTACTAGGGTTTGGTTCTTTGTCAATGTTGACTGAAATTATTTATCAACTACTTTTGTAATACAGTGGATACCCTAGAGGTGCTACCAATTGATCATTATCACAAATTAACATGGAGCTAGTTACAAATTTCTGCATTTATTGTAGGTGCAATTTCCATCCAGCATTTAGTGAGGGCTGTTGTAAGAGCCCGTAAGATTTTGTAAAAACTGATGTGTTTGCCAAACACAGAAATAGTGTGTAGGTCAAACTGTGACCAAGATTTGAGAGGTGAAATGTTTCACCCTGATTCAGTGCGTCAATGCTGTAGGTCTCTGCAAACATGCAATTAATTTTTGTTGTTTTCCAAAGCACAATACCACTTTTTGTCTCTAAATAAACACCTGCAAATATCTATGCTAATAAATCCCTAAACCAAATGTGAGCCTGATCCAGAAGGCAAGCTTTTCCTAGCAGAGTGTGGATTTGTAAAAAGGCTGGATGTTCCAAGCTTCTTGTACCCAGACTAATTCTGAATCAGTAGTAAATGAAGTTGTGGGAAGGGATTATCATGAATGAAAAATAAATCCCATTGGTTTTTGCTATCTTCTCAAACTAGCACCCACAGCTGGGCATTGGACATTTTTTACCATCCTAATTGTAATTTCATGTATTATCCTCCACTTCTGGCTTTGCCAAATAACAGAAATTCTTTATCTTGGTCTCTCATTCTTGTCATTCCTTTGAACTGTACCCTATTAGAGGCTAGGGAGATTTTTAACAGGGAGCCTTCTAGGACTGTGCAAGTGAGTATCCACACACACCAGATGTGTTGCCCTATCATCAGAACTATAACAAATAAATGTACTGTAAGCTTCAAAAAGCCAGGTGCCAGAGAACTGCTGTAACTGGTCCCAGCAGCAGGCAGAGCCCACTGACCTACTCCTCCTCTCTCCAGACAGCAGCAGACACAGCACTGCAGTCACTGCCTCCATCACCCCTGCACACAAGGGCAGGGCAGGGGATCCAGCAGGCTGCATCCCCCCTGCCAGACTGGCCTCACAGCACTCCAGTGTGATGCCTGCTCCTTTTCCTAAGGATTCCAAAGCCTGCAAAAGCTGCTTAAGACAGTTTTGGGGAAATGCATGGCTCCTTCTTTTCATTACTTATGTACCTGGGAGACCAAACTAATGCATGATTTATAGGTTACTTAGTGGATGATTTTATTTTATTAACAGAAACTTTCATGATGATCCCACAACAAAACTAGACCACTAACAGCTTGAAAAAATGACTGACTTTAGATAGACTTGTCCATTATAGGCACCTCTAAATGGAAATTTCTGTTTCAGCAACAAACATGTTGCTGTAACTGCATGTGGCAAGATGTTTATCTTGAATCCATAGCTGCAGTATTTTTGGAGGAATAGAATGCTCAACAGTGCTCCACTTTGCCCAGGTACCCAGACAATATGATGGGAGGTAAAGAGAAGAAATGAGAATGGCCTCATGAGGAACCGGCATGTGTGCATGTAAACCTGTTCCTGAGGTACATGAGCTGGCAGGTTTAGCCCCTGTGGTAAACTGCTGGTTATTGTGTTACTCTGTCACTCTGGAAGTGACCTATAAAATGTCAGTCCTCATTACTCCCTGGATATCAACCTCTGCATCCATGAAGTGAAGAGGCTTAAGAAATCACGACTGCATCCAGTTGGAATATTCCTTCTCTGGTATGTGACACTACTCATGAAGCACATAAAGGTCAGGCCTATGTTTAATAGCTTCATACTGAAAAATATAACACCTGTAACTGGAGGAACTTTGTATAGTACCAAGTGCCAGGGCACCTTCATTTCATGTTTTGGTGGAGGATTGAGTTGTCAGCGCTTTCAAGCCATTAGTGTAGATGTCTCATTGTTCTGCACTGAGATCAGCTTTTGGAATGAGCTCAGGAACTTGACTCCTTATGCTGACTGGAAAGCTTCATCCTCTGAGCTAGCCTGCTGCCTCAGCTGGGTGGGTGATACCTGTCCCGTGCCCACATCTGAAGTCAGTTGGAACCAGCATAATGGTTTATGCCCTTTCACTTTGAAAGGCTATTTGAGTCCACTAATAGAAGATTAAGAACTGTTGATAAAATTATTTATCTGTTTTCCAGTGGTGGGGAAAATGATGATGACTCTGACCAGAACTGGAAGCCACCAGAAAATGACCTGATCCAGAAGTTAATAGCACAGATTGAATATTACTTCTCAGATGAGAACCTTGAGAAAGATGCCTTCCTTCTGAAGCATGTGAGAAGAAATAAGATGGGCTATGTCAGTGTTAAACTTCTCACTTCATTTAAGAAGGTAAGCTAACTTTTTAATACTTGAAGGGTCTCATGCAAGCCTGATGAATCTAAAAACAGCAGAAGAGATTAAATTAACATTTTATACAGGCAACTTTATCTGCCTGGTTTTGCTATGATGGTTAGATTTGTACTCATCCAGAACTTTCACTGCTGAACTTGCTGATGACTGGCTAGGGAAATCATTGGCTTAAAAGCCTGTATGCTTTTAAATTATCATTCTTGGAGACAGGAGGACATTAGATAAAATTAATTTCCATGGCAAGTACTCATGAACAGCAGGGTAGTCCTGGTAAAGTTACATTCCTGTCTCTGAGAAGGGACAGTGAATCTGACTTTTGGACAGAGAACCAAAAATGAAGAGTAGTATAAAGTATCTGGTAACCAATGTCCCTTAGACTTGAAGTGAGTTTTATTGTTTTTTCTTTTTTTTTTTTTTTGTCCTTACGTTAGAAAGGCCTATGTAAATCTGTAAGTAACTGATTTCTAGAATTACACTAGAAACACTTTGTGTCAAGCTTCTAAATCTCATTGTTTTGCAGTTATTCAGTCTAGAAGTTAAGGCACTCAATTTTGTCAGACCACTTCAAGCAGATTACATTGGTAACAGATAAACTATAAACATGTAATGAAAATGGAGATGTTTGGGGTGTTTTTTAGACTGAGATTTTTGAGGGAGGAAAGATCAGTTCAATACACTGAAGACTTAAACTTCTTGTTTAGCAAATGTAAAACTTCAAACAAAACTTCCTGTTTGGCAAATGTAACATCCATAGAAGATACATTTTGATCATGGTTCAGGCCTAGATGTGGAATGACCAAGCACTGCTTGAGCAGGCTTTCAGATTACGATTTCCAGTTTGAGCTTTAGTGCCAGTTCCTGTTTTAATTCGATTCAACAGGACATGAGCTTTACAGGAGCTCACTGATGCCCATTACAGCATGAAACCTGTATACTTTCTCACTAAGTCTGCTGCATGAAACTTAAATCCAGGGCTCTGCTTGTAGACTGAAGCCTGCCTCTGCCTTAAAATTCAGTGACTAGTTTGATTGGGTTTGGCCAGTTGTGGTGCTTAACCAGTGTCTGTCCCGAAGGTGAAACACCTTACCCGTGACTGGAGAACCACAGCCTATGCACTGAAGTACTCCAGCACTCTGGAGCTCAATGATGACAACAAAAAGGTTCGAAGAAATACTCCAGTTCCAGTGTTTCCAAGTGAAAACGTCCCTACCAGGATGCTACTGGTGTATGATATCCACAAGACTTCTGAGCTGCAGGCCCTTAACAAAGAAGAAAATGGATGCATGCAAGAAAGGATAATGGAGCATCTCCTCAAAGCCTTTGTAACTTTTGGTGTAATTTCATCAGTTCGTATTCTCAAGCCTGGCAGGGATCTCCCACCTGATATCAGGAGGGTCAGCAATCGGTACACCCAGCTGGGAACCCAAGAATGTGCAATTATAGAATTTGAAGAAGTAGAAGCGGCCGTACGTGCTCATGATTTCATGTGTGCTGAAAACAAAGAGACTGGCATGAAAGTTGTCCAAATAGGCATGAAACCACCAAAGAAAAAAGTTCCCAAAGACAAGAACCATGATGAAGATACCAGCAAGAGCCTTAAGAAGGCTCGATCCCTTAACAAGAGAGTTGAGGAGCTTCAGTTTGCTGGTGATGAATCTTCAGCAAACAGCTCTTCTGACCCAGAGAGCAATCCCACATCACCGCTGTCAGGACGCAAACGTACCACAACAAATACTACGAGCAATTTGAGCCCCGTGATCCACCCAAACAACCATTTGAGTCCTAACATGTCACCCAGATCAAGTCCTTGGAACAGTCCATCTTCACTAAGAAAAGTAACAAAAAAATCTCCGCTGGCTGAAGACAGCAAGCTTAATGCAAGCACTAGCCCTGAAATTCCAAGGAAACACACTGATTATTCCTCAGATAGCAGCATCACTCCTTCTGGGAGCCCCTGGGTGCAGAGAAGAAAAGCCCAAACTCTGACACAAGAGAAGAGTCCTGTCAGCAGTCCCATGTTGGTTCGGAAAATACAAAATGCAGACGGTCTCCCTGTAGGGGTGCTGCGGCTGCCTAAAGGTCCTGATGGCACCAAAGGATTCCACAATGGCTGTGAAAGAAGGAAGGCTATGAAGGGTGAATAGCCTATTCTTTAAAAACAGTTTCACAAATCAGCCAACTGCTGGTGACCAACCTCAGCCTCATGAAAACTTATTGCTTGAGTGACTCAGTTAAGTCAGTATTTAATTATAAAAGCTTTTGTATTTATATAGAGACTTCATCATTTGTATATTTGTATATTATTTTCTTCACAGAACAGATGAGGCTGGAAGGCATCTCTGGAGATTGCCCAGTCCACCTCCTTTGCTGAAGCTACAAGTCATTGATAGGTTTGAGTATCTGCAAGGACAGACTCCCAGCCTGTCTGGCTGATGTGTTCCCATGTTCAACCACCCACACAAACCCAGTCTGTGCCCCTTTTCCTGTTACTGGATATTGCTGAGAAGTGCCTGGCTCCATCTTCTTTACTTCTTCTCATCAGATATTTAAAAAACTTGATGAGATCCTCCCCCAGAGCCCTCTCCACTCCAATCTAACCAGTGCCCACTCTCTAGGCCTCACAGGAGGGACGTGCTAGCCTTTTAATCAGCTGAATCACTTAGCTAATGCAGGGCCCTACCTGCATCCATTCTTTATAATGTATTCTTTTGAAACACCTAAATATTCAAGCAGCCATATAAATCATTGATGTAAGTACATTATTTGCCAAGCTAGGATCCTGAGGAGAAGTGTGTACTTACACTTTAGTGGCTATATTATGAAAAGCTATGGAATATTACCAGTCTTATCATAGGGAGCTGGGGTTTTGAAGACTTCCTGTGTTTGCCACAGAAGGAACAGAGAAACCAATGCCACACAGTGAGCAATTGTTCTCACATACATCACCAAAGCAGTATTGCTCAAGACTGCTTGTCTTGAATCAGTGTGCATTTTCATGAGTAAAGACCGAGCAGTGGAGATTGCTCTGTAAGTGTTCTCGTGTATAATCAGATGAAAATAAAAATATTAACTCTAGATCTATTTTGTTTACTTTAAAAATAAGTTGAGCTGCACATGAATAGATAACTTAAACCTCATCTTATACCACATGGAATTCTAGTAGCAGTTACTCAAAATTTCCATTGCATTCAGGGAAAAAAATTTTCTCTGCCCCATTACTGATGGTTAATTCTGTGATGATGCTTCACTCTGTGTGCCACAGTCATTTTTATACAATATTATAAACTAAACAGTAGTTATGTCACTGCTAACTCAGAATTTGACAAGCAGGCTCAGCAAGAAGTGCTTAAATTAAAATTAACTATAATGCCACAGGAAGTTAAAGAAGGAAACTACAGTTTTACTTACAAAAGTTAAACTGGAAAACTAGCCCAGGGACCAGGGAAGTTGCAATGGTCATCTTGGGAACTGTGCATGACAAAGGTCTCATCAGATGGTGATTCTTCATTCCAAAAGTCCACATCCTGTCCAACTTCCTAAGTGTAACATTTCTGCTGTGTACATAACTGCAGTAACCCACAGTTAGACTCCTATACACAGAAATCCCAGCTCTGTGTGTTGCTCTTTAGCCACCCACATACATTCCTGGTTCTTTCACTGCACACAAATGGGATCCTCCAGGTGACCTCCCGACTCCCATGACACAAACTACAGCATGTGCACAGATTTTGTGAGCTCTCAGCACCAGAACACACAGGCAGGTGCTTGGGGAGTGAACCCTGTGGCTGCCCAGGACAGGGAGAGCCAGGGGCTGCCACAGCAGCAGGGAGAGGCTGGCAGGCAGCACGGTGCTCCAGGAACTCACCCCACAGAATCCTGCTTCTCTTCTGTAGAGCTCAAACACACACATGCACACCTTAAAGTGGTGGTTTCAAAAACATGGAGCTTGAGGTTATTTTTATTCCTTTTTTTACACAACAAACAGCAATTCTGAAAAGCATTTTAAGAATGAGATCACTTTGCCAAGTAGCTCAGTTACTGAAGGCATTCAAGATTCTTAAGTGCCTACACACCACCAGTGCCCAGGGCACCAGCAGAGACCCCCTCGTGCTACTCAACCCACAGCAGCTTTAGTCATACAGGTACAGCAATAAAAACAGATACAATATTAATTCCTTGGTATAAATATTTACTTCTCCCTGAGTTTGTTTCTGTCTTCACATTCAATCAAGAGCTCAAAACCTGAAAACAATACAAACCCCAAAAATACACACCACACATTCAAACTGCTTGGCTGAATGCTGCCAACAGACATGTTTTAAACACCAATAACTCTACCTTTATTTTGTTTCAGCTCTTCAACATTTATATTATGATGACATATTTCAACTAAGTATTTTTAAAATGTCATATCAACTCAAGAGAAACAAGGTGACAACACATCTGGCACTTTAATCACTGGTTGAGAGCCCTTCTCACCTACTGAAAGAACATTTACTTCTATCCCTGGTTACAAGGGATGCATTCCAGTTGCCTTCATATCACACAGGCAGTTTATGGCTGGGTTTAAAACCCTGAGGTCTGAAAAAAGCTGGGGACTTCAGTAAAAAAAGCTTATTAACTCAGCTAATACACCCGAGCTATTTAGGACAACAGTTTGATTAATCAAACAGAGCTGGCTTCAGCTTACACCACTGTTCCCTTAGCTTGGATTTTACTGCATTTGAAGCAAAAATATAGTTGATTGATTCATAGGAAAGATCCCACATCTGTGATCGAGTCAGATTAAATGTTTTTGCAACCAGCTCGTATTCTTGCGATAGATCAGTGGCGAAGACGCCTTTATCATCAGTCTGGAGTTAAATTGAAAGGAAAGAAATAAAAAAGTTCAAATTAGTTCCTCTATATCAAAAAGGTTTTTTCTATACATACAAACAGGCTGTATCTTGTTGTCTCACATCTTATTTCACTGTTCTTTCATCTGTGCATGGTTATTTCATTCTTTATTTGCCCTATTTTCACTAAAACTGAATAAATTATTCAAATGTATAAGAAAACTTCTTAAAATGATGGCATGATTTATCAAGAAAATAGGATTTCCTACTGAAATTGCTAGAAAGATGGCTATCAAATGCTGCACATAGTCAAGGTATGTCAGTATGTGCAGGTTTCCTTATTCTTCTTTTCACTTTCCCCAGACAAGCAGTGCTATAAAATAGATATATATGTATGCCCACACACTTGGACAATGCTATGGATTATGGGGGTTAAACTAACAGGATAATACTAAAACCCTGCCAATGGCAGCACAAGTACTTGGCATCTGCAATGCTTAAAGACCTTAATGAGCTACCAAGAGAACTATCAGGAGCAGGAGCTCTCACCAGGCACAATGAACACCAGGTTAGTAGAGGTGCATATGCAAGCACTGGAGCAATGGGTTTTAAGAGAAATCTATTGTGCAAAGAGCTATGAAGTTCACTGCTTGTATAGCTGACCATTTTATTCCACAGAAAAAAGTCCTGGCTTTACAATAGAACCAAGATAAATACTAGCAATTCTCATTCAAATTAAAAGCATTTCTCAAACAGAACATTATGATTTCCTAAAAGCAAATTATTTGCTGCAAGGTCAGAAATTGTTAGTTCTGATCCATAAACAAAGACTTCTCCAACTTCACAAGTTTAGCCCTTTGCTTTAATACATGCTTAAAAATCAAAAAACTTACACAAAGCACTGCAGGATGGCCCATGCTGTACCAGTATCCAAAATGGTGTTTGTCACAGGAAGGCACTGTCTGAGATTTTATGTTTGATGTCATGCAAAATTCTGAGGAAGAAACAGAAAAAGAAATGAGGACATATACTAAAACAAGAGATACATTAATTGACGTATGAAGATCCTGAATAAAAATTAAAATCAGTTACTGCTGTTTCCTTGATTTTCTACGCTTCTTTTGTAATTACTTTTGAGAAAAGTTTGCTAATTAATTTCTTTGGGGTATAAAATTTAAGGAGCTTGCAAACCAGGCACAGAACCACCACACAGCCTTGTACAGTAATGACAAGTTATTATTTGGTTTTGCTTCTATCTGAGACATCAGCTGTTGTCTGCTGTGCCACAAAGGTGCCAAAAACCCTAGAAGTGTCATGAGTGTATGTACCTTTATGGGCAAGTCTTCTCTTTGCCACATTTGTCCAAGTCATCTCTGGTCAGAGACAAACTGGTGTCCCTAGATCAGCAGCACATATTCTGTTCTGATATCCAGAGACTAAGTCACAGGAAATATTTTTTTCTTACCAATAGGTATATGATTCTGCTGAACCAGTGACACTATCTCTTCTGAACCTGCTGCTGTGGAGTTGAGAAATGTTCCATGTCCAATTCTGTCAGGAGGCAGGCCCAGGAGAATCTTGGTCTCCTCTTCTTGATTTGGAATCTAGAGAGGATACATGTCACATTCTGTCAAGGCAGCATAAAACAGCACATTATATAATTACAATGGACTTTCACAGCATCTCTTATCCAAAAGAAAGTGTTAGTGAAATAGAAACAAGTATAAATATGCTGATGAAATCATATGTCCTGCTTAATTTCCTGAAAAAATAACTACCTTCAGTAATTACTGGACTTCTCGTAGCCAGTTCCAGCCACTATTTGAACAAAAGCTCAACTCTTTCTACTGATCCCAGTGCAACTAACAAAGCTCACTGCTCACAAAACTGTGGATTTCACTACACATGATTGCTGATATAATACCAGTAAGAAAGCAGTGGATCTCTTAGAAAGCTCCTAATTTCTCACCTAAACCCACAATTTATATAGTACAGGAAGCAATAATCTGGCTGTTCAGATCTAGAACAAAAGGTTGAAGATTTCTCCTTGTTTTCTTGTCTCTTTCCAAATGCCCCAAACCATTAATGCTTTGGCCTGAGAAGCCCAAAATGCACAGAAGGTAATTTTAGTTTCATCAAGATTTTCACAAAATGACTATTATAGAGAAGCAGCAAAATAAAAAAAACAAAAACCTTTTACCTCACAAAGATGCAGTGCTAGCTTCAGACCTGCTTTCTTTGCTTCAGAGAGAGGTTCAAAAAAATCTTGACCATGTCCCGCCTGGAAATCAGGAATTCTACAGCTTATTTGACAAAATCCCTGTCATTACCATAATTAAGAAGTCTAGCAATATCCAAGCACTACAGTTACATTTAAATTATTCCACTTTTCCCACTACTTCAGTGTGGAATGCAGCAAGTCAAACAAGCCTCTGCCATATGATTTAGACCAATGGATCAAATACCAGTAGCTCAGATGATGCTTAACACTTAAAAACCAATTGTCTTGATTTTGGTACCTTTACACAGCTACCACCTAGAGCTGTTTCATTTCAGCTTGACAGCTGTCCTCAAACAATTTTGCTTTCTTAATACAAAATGAACATTTGGAGCAGCTAAACAAAATGTAAAATATTGGCAACTTGTCTCCACCCAGTTATCTGACTGGGACAATTGAGGTATCCACACTTCCCAGATGAACACTGCATTTCAATGGTTCTTTTCTCAATCACATACTAATCTAAGGATTCTTTGTTAGAGTATTTGCCCCTTACAGCAACAGGGATTAACCCAGTATCAATCCATCCCAGCTAGGCACAAAAATTGGACAAAAACTTGTGAGAAAAACTATGATTAGAACCACCTGCTGTTACACAACATTACACATTTATCTTCAAGAACAGACTAAAATAAACCAAAAACTTACAGTGGGATCACCACTGAGGTCAAGTCCTACTACAACCCCATCACTGGAAAGCAGGAACTCTTCAGCAAGTTTAACAGTCTGCTTAGCAACTGCTGGGCCATCTCTTCTGTTTATTGCTATTAACAGCCTGGGACAAAAATGTATTAAATTATTATTAAATTATATACAAGCTGTAATATCAGGAACTCAACAGACCTGATACCAACAAAAACCAACACTTCATATCCTTCATGCTGAGTATAAAGAGTATTTGTATAGGAAACTGTTCTAGGAATGAAGGTACCAAAGTGCAGAGGGACACAAACAGATAAATAAGGTGGCCCATGATATGCAATAACACATATGGAGGATGAAAATTCTTCAGCTTTCACAAATAAATCTAGTAAGGGTTGTTTCAGAAGCTATGAAAGACAGAGAGAGAGCAAACTGTCTTCAAACAGCCACTGACACCTTCTGAAACTTCTCTGCTGGTCAGGACCAGCTCTTCTTTACAGTAAGCTGCTTGTACAGCTAATCAAACTAAATCTTTGCAATGAAGCTAAGCTCTGAAAAAGGAGCCAATTCCATGAAAAACAGTTATTTTCCTGAAAATGTTGCAAAGAATGGACAGTCTTAAAGATGAGAGGTTTTACCCAGTTTTCTTCTTTAGCAGTAAAAAAGATTAAAAGTCAGGTTTCCATCCGAATTATCTGTTTCCACTCCATGTCATCTGGTTTAAAAACAATTTTCTTTCCTATGCTGATGGCTTGTAAACCTCTCTGCAAGCATGACCAGGCATCAGACTACACAAAAACTTGAAACAGAGGTGTACCACATGCTTTATTTACCTTACATCTATATCCAAGCCTTCTTCTTGACACTGCTTTATACCCTCAAGTACAGTTTCAACATACATCCTTTTGGTCATACCTGCAAACATATGCACACGTTTGGAAGAAACATATTTTAAGTTATTTTTATTCTACTGCAGATACAGCTCTCTAGTCTCCTAAGTTTCATGTTGCACCTTTGATTTTTGACTACATAGTCTTCTAACCCATGGAATTCTAATTCTACTTGTAAATATAGCTTTACTGTGAAGCACATATCTGAACTAAACCTCCTCCTAAGCATGTAGAAAAATTAAAATCACTTTGTGTGAACCAGAGAATCGCAATAGGACTTCTATTATGTGTTTCTACTAAACCACACCTAGAAGAAAAAACCAAAATAACAAAAGTAAAATATATCAGCTATTAAAAATATTAGCAGACTCAGATGCCATACTCAAGTGAATAACTCAATCTCATGGGTCATAGACTTATGATCAGCCCCTTTTTTCCCTCAGAAATATAATAGGAAAGGGACATGCTTTTACATCGTTAAATCTTAGCTTTCATATTTAAAGTGTATTTTTATTGAGCCAACTAAATTTGACTTTTCTAGTTATTAACATAGTCTTCAACTAAGTTTTATAGTGCAAGAAGATCACAAATTAAAAACCAGAAAAGACTGTACCTGTGGAATTTTCTTCTCTTGGAGTGCTTCTCAATTCCAGATACTTAACACCATCATCAGCAAATTCTTTAATGACATCTTTAGTTATCTGATTAAATAAAAGTGTATTCAACACTGTAAAAGTGATACTTATAAATAGTTATATTTTCATTTACAACTAAAAGACCCAGTTATTTTTGTTGTGAAACACTTGCAATGTTTTCAAGCCCAATGTGTTTTTAATGGTCCCCATGTTTGTGGAAATACTACCACACAGAAGGCACATTTGATTCCTTCAGGAATACTGAAGAGAGTTCAAGAGTTTTACAATAATTATTCTGACCTTCAATTGAAAAAAATAATTTGTGATATTATTACTTGGAACACAGTGCTCTTAATCCAACTGGTTGTGATTGTGTGTAGTGCTTGCTTGAAGTGAATTTTTAATTAATTTACCAGTAAAATATCTTCAGTCCTTGTGGTAACCTGATAGATGATCTGAAACATCTGAAAACATCTAAAATAAAATTTAAAAAAATTATTGGAATGACATTGAATGAGTATGTAGGGAAAAAAAATCTACATTTTAAAAACACCTATCCACTGGAGTCAAGTAACCAGATTGTAGCTTGAAATAGAAAGATACATCTGAACAGCAATTTCTGATTTTAGATACTAACAAAGCATTCGCAACAAAAGTTGCAACTACCACAAAGCTTTTTGAAGGAAAGGGAAAACATGAAATTTCTAAAAAAGGAAACTATATGAGTCAATTTTCTCTGAAAAGCAGATGATCTAAGTAAAAAATTTCAATCCTTTAAAGATGGAATTAATCAACAAGTGTTCTCCTTTTAGTTTGCAAGCATTGAAGAAATTACTCCGTAGATACAAATATTAAAAAAAAAATCTATGAGATTATGCTGTAAAACTTAAAAGCATATTTTCTGCAGTTAGTGTGTAAGGCCACACATTTCTGTTTTCAACTTAAATAAAAAACCTTTGGTAAATGTTCATCACACACATGCATATACTCACTCATCTAAGGTTCTTTTCTTTCCTTTGTCAATCACAGTCATTCCATTCTGGATCTGAAGGTTTGGCTTCTGGGCCATGAGTTTCTTCATAGTAGCAGTACTGATACAGCCATTCAAATGAGCATGGAGTTCCTACAGAAATAAAAATCCTATGGACTTATGAAAAGGATGACTTCTGCACCTTGTTTGTACCACTGTTCTCTTATCCATCAGTGTTTCACTCTGAGTTTGAAAAGAACAGCTATCTGCATTTTGGCTAACAATAACTTCCTTAGTTTTTGCAAGCACTGGTTCAGCTGAGAACTGCCCTGTTTATTTTGTGGCTGCTGTTGGCTCTGGTCTCCATGGGAGCACAGCTGGCTCAGCAAAGAGCTCTCCAGACAATTCTCGGGGTGGTGTGATCCAAGGCGAGGAGAAAGCCAATAGCTGCCTCAGTATTACAAAAAGTACAGTAAGGATTCAAGAACTCTCCCCATCCACTGCAAGTTAAATGTGCATGTCCATCATTCAAATATAGCAACAGGTGTCTACCCACTCCCCTTGCTTTTGTTCATGAAGTTTAAACTCACTCTAGAAATGCAGCAAGACTCTGCCATGAACAGCAACTGCAGTAACTGCACTCCTTTGCCTGAGGCCTCTTTCTGCCTAACTTCCTACTGACATCCTGACTTTGGGCTCCAAACCTATAATCCTCATCTCCACTCCTAACTTTACCTTTGCTCCTTCTTATCTCCTGGCTCCTGACTTAAGGAATAGGTCTCTAGCGCCCTGCCAGCTCATTCAAAATATATCTACAAAGCACCTACTTTGTTACCTACCTCTCGTCTCCCTGTACACATCCATTCTCAATAGGAAAAGAAAAATTCCATAAATACTTCTCTTCAAGTTTTACATTGGAAAACATGTTGAAACTGTAAGCACCAGAAGCTGAGGCTGATTACAGATTCTGGTGACTGAGGCTGTGTTATATTTTTCACAAGCTTACGATTACATCAGAGAATTCTGTCAGACATTAAACATACACCCTGAAAAGCAGCTCAGTGAAAAGGAACACGGGAATGCAAGGATGGTGTGGTCTGAAGTGGGTTTGCTGGTGCCTGTGCACTGCCCGTGCAGAGCTCTGTGCTGGAGTACGTGCCCTCGGGGTCTGCTGAGCGCGGCACGCGAGCCCCGATAAATCCACACCCACCCCTAGGCAAGGCTTGCACTGATATGCCCCAAGTAAGGCACACCCTCGGGACACGGAGAAAAAGCGTTATCTGAGCCAGACTTCTTGGCCAGACTATGGGGAAATAGGACAAAAAAAGAAAATGAAGATCGAGCTCAACTGATTTAATTGCAATTAGATTAGTAAGATCTGCAAACAAACCGGACAGGCAAACACCCGATGCATTTTGCGGTGGGATAAGGCCCTCAGAAACCGCGCCTTTGGGAAGAACTCGGCGACAGCAGCGGCGTCTGTCGCTCTGTCTGTCCCTCCGGCTGCAGCCCGAGCCCGGTGCCGCCGGAGGAGGGTCCGGGCCCGCCGCCCCCCGCCGCTCACCGCTTTGGGCAGCCGTCGGTAGAAGCGCAGCTCCCGCTCGCAGTCCCGCTCCGCCGCCATGGTGGCTCCTGTGCCGGCGGGGCGGGACGAGCCGGGGCTCGGCGGCGGCCGGCTGCAGCCCGAGCCCGGTGCCGCCGGAGGAGGGTCCGGGCCCGCCGCCCCCCGCCGCTCACCGCTTTGGGCAGCCGTCGGTAGAAGCGCAGCTCCCGCTCGCGGTCCCGCTCCGCCGCCATGGTGGCTCCTGGGCGGGGGGGGGGGGACGAGCCGGGGCTCGGCGGCGGCACCGCCCCGGCCCGGCCCCGGGCCCGCCCCCGGCACCGCCTAGCGCGGGGCCGCGGCCGCCGCTCCACGCCGCCGAGCGGGACCGAGCCGAGACCACGACAAACACCGTCAGTATTAACGCCAGCAAAGCTTCAAGGCGCAGTTTATTGAAGCGATAGCATTTCCAGCCCGACGGCACCGCAGTGCTACAGCAGCGGCAGCTCCAGCCCCGGGCCAGGGGCAAGCACGCACGGCCGGGCATCCACCGCGGCCACACGAAATTGTCCTGTAATGGCACTAGTCCGCTACATTATCGCCTCACAAAGTCCTAAGTGCATAAACTCAGCGATTATACTGCCAACCCTTTTTTAAAGTACTTTGGCAAGCTTGCTAGCACAAGAATAGGAACCGTAACTTTCATGGATATGCTGGTCAAACCCAACCAAAACAAAGTTTTCCCAGAACAATCAAAAAAATCAATTTCAATTATTTTGTATTTAGCCCTTAGTGATACTGCAGTCTAATTCTTAACTCCCCCACAATTTAAAGTCGAGTCTCTAAGCAGATATTGACTCTTGCTATTTCCCAAACCAAGAAGATAATGTAGTTAACATCATAAAACATGGTGATTTACATACTACCCACATAACTCAGACAAATAAATTATCCTCCCACAAATACAAAAAAAAAATACTGACATATTTAGAGAAGTTAGCTTTAGCGTTAAATTCAGGCATAGAAATATGAAGTAAACAATTTAGGATTCAAGTTAGTTTACACCTCTTTGGGGGCCTGACAGATCATCCAAGCTCAAGCACAGTGTAGAATTTGGTTAGCTGCTCAACTTTTTTTCATAGAAAAATACCATGTCCATAGAAGAAATGCAATTAATTTCAACTTACTCAGTGATCCACTCTTTTATTTGACCTTAGTTAAAGGCAAACCAAGTACAGATACTGTACATTAAAATGTATGCACACAGAACAAACAGTTGTTCTTCATTCTGCCTTAAAGGCTCAAAACTCCACACTCGTTTATTTAGAGCCCTTTGCAGGCAATGACTCCTCTCTGAAACACATTGCACCCACACTTAAATATAGAGAGATCCATCTGCAGGTCCCACATAGCCAACACCTATTAGCAGCACATCAATTAGTGTCCATATTCCAAGTCCACCGAAGCTGAAGAGTTTTCCCAGACCTTCCCGCCACTGACCCAAATAGAAACGATCGGCACCAAATCCACCAAGGGTGATGCTACAAGAATAAAAATATGATTAATGATTATTATTTTTACAGGAACTGAGCTTGGGTACCCAAGTGTTTTTCCTCCAGCTGTGTTTGCTGAAGACAGCCAGCACTGCTGCATGTGAACCCTTCATACATTGGATGTCCACCATTTCAAGCTAGACTATCTGAAATACTGGTTATCCAGCACAGCTTTAAAAATACCAAGCAGAAAACCACAGAACCTGAATATTTTAAAGAAAACTAATCTATTTCAGCTTGACATTATCCAGTAGTTCCTGCTTACCTTAGTGCCAAGGCAGTAGACCACTTATAACCTCCAGTCCAGTTGCAATAAAGCATCTTAGGAAAGACACGGTTACCTAAATATTGGAAAGTATTAAAACATTGATGCAATATTATAAGGAAGAAAATGACAAGGAAGAAGATACTGTATTTTTTCAAAAGGAGTCTCAAAGGTTTGTCACTAACTGAGAAACAACTGTAAATAATAATATACAACACAAGCTTATTTATACCCTGCAGTTTTCTGTTCCATCAATCTTGGTCCCACATCAAAAAAGTCAGTGAACAAACAGAGGGAAAATTAAGCCTAGTTGGATGGAATCAGCATAATTTTTTTTAATTTGCCTATGGAGACATTTGATATTGATTCTATTAGTGGTCTGAGAATCAGACCACTAGTAGGTGCAAATAATTTTAACTCACAGAAGTTGAAAAAAAGAAAAAGAACTGTTTTCTCTGGTGTGACAGTATACAACAATATAATAAGCCAGTGTTTGCAGTTAGTTGCTATTACGCTAAAAAATGAAATGCAACAATAAAAAATTCAGTAGATTGATCAAAGAGCAAGTTATTATTGCAAAAGGACACAAACAATCTTTGAATTCACCCATTACAGAGTATGTGGAAAATTCTTTAGAGAACTCCAGCCTTGCCCACCTTACCTAAACAATGAATGTGATCCCGGACTGTGCAAGTTGCATTGTATCGCTGCCGAGGGCAGGAAACTGTCATGCAGCTTGTGGAGTTGGTACAGACATAATCACTTGTGGCAAGCTGCCAGCAAAACTGGCACGTCATGTTAATTGTGAAGTTCTCCTGCTCGTGGTTATTCTCATCCTGTAAAAGGACAGCACTATTACTTCAATAGTATTAAAACCAAAAATCAATGTGCAGTATCAAATTAGATTTAATGATTAGGTATTTTGGGCAAAAGAACAATTGCTCTGTTTTCTACCTCTTATAGAGCAGAATAGAAAACCACCAAAGAGGTATCAAAGTCATGTTTAACATTCCTGATTCCTCCAATCTAAGGCTGCTGCCAAAAGGAGAACTCATTTAGTTTCACTTGTAAGGTCAGTTCGTAGCTCTGACAGATATTTTACCTCTCCACTCTCAAAATGTTTGGAGTGGTTTAACTCAAAGGCATGGCCAGGTAACAAAAAGATCCAAGGCAAGAAAGGCAAACCAGGGAAGGACACGCTTGCCTCTTCAACAGCCCACAGTGAGTGATCAAACTTATCACAGAACTGCAAACCTGTCTACATCAGAACCTGGAAATCAATATTCTGCATTTTAAGACAAGACGCCACAGTTTTATTACTTAAATCTGGGGTTAAGAGTAACAGGTTACTTACAACACAATGAACATGCGGCTTGACTTTGCAATCAAAAGTTGCTGTCTTCCCATATATACAGGAATAGTTTGTGTTACATGTCATGCAGTCTGGTGGCAGTCTACTGCAAAGCCCATTGCTGGGACAATTAGTCAGGTAAGGTGGAATTTCTGTACTTTCTGAAAGGTGCAATAAGTGAATTAAGAATATGATTAAAAAAAAGCTAAACAGTCTAAAATATATATACACATTTTTTTATACATATACAAACACATGCACTGACAATTTCTGTACTTTCTGAAAGGTGCAATAAGTGAATTAAGAATATGATTTAAAAAAAAGCTAAACAGTCTAAAGTATATATACACATTTTTTTATACATACACATAGACAAACATATGCACTGATGCTGCATAAAAGACTTTCCTCATTATACATGGAGCAGCATTCCCAGCCTGTGCTGTGAGAGCCAGAGGAGCCACAGGGCTGTGTGCAGGACACCAGCCAACAGTCCAGCACAGCACCAGGACTGAGCTGGTGGGGATTAGAGCTGCCTCAGCCAGCACTCCTCAGCAGAAGTAATCGGTTCAGGAATAGCAGCAGGGTGACACGGGTAACCTACTTCGAGTTGAGCTCTAATTAGGGCTACAGCTACCTCAGCCATTTGCTGTTTGCACGTGTACAGAATCATCTCCTACACTGCCAGCAAGAACAGCATTTCTGTCAGTCCTGGTGCACCCTCAGTGAGCTACAAAGCTGTACCGAGGGTGGGCAGGGAGCAAGTTCTTGCATGATGCTGAAGTCTTTAAAGAACTTCCACCATCCTGAGGGGTATAAACCACATATACCACAATGGTAATGGTAACTTACCATTTTCTAGTTCTTATATGGACCAGCTGTCTAATTAGATAACCAAAAGTAATTGTTATGGTCACTGAAAAGTAATTCATAATGTGTTACACTGCAATGCTTCTTACCACTGTGAAATCATGTACAGGTTTCTAAGACCCAGTTCAAGAACTTTCAGACTCAAGACTGAGAAGGATCCAGAGAAAACAAACAAAAGAAACAACGTAATACCTTACCTAATGCTTTAAAATAGGGAGCATTTGTACTTGTTGAAGTGAGGCTTTTTGCCAGCGTAGACTGTGGCTGTGAAAACTTTGTCGTCATCAAAGATCCTGCTACAACACAAAAACATAGAGAAAGTGAAATTTCTAAAACAAATTTTATCTTCAGAAACAGCTTGATTTCAGCACTCTGATATGAAAATACAAGTGGAAAGTGTAATGAGACTAGAAAAAAACCTGTTTTCCTGTTCTACTAATAGTGGGATATTTATGTTAAATATTAGAAAGAGCATTAGAATGAAATTGTTCCTTAAGACAATGAAATACATTTATTTCCATTCAATCTTATTTTTTTGATTCATGAGAATTAAAAGCACTGCTCAGAAAGCGTATTTTACACAGGGTTTTCTACTGAACAATACCATTTAATGAAGCAATGGCAGCAGTTCTTTGACAGAAGGATGGAGCAGAGGTACCGCTAGGGAGGCACGGCTGTGTTCGTGCGGGAGCCGCCGGCTGAGGGCTCGGGAGAGCCGCGATGTGCCAGCTGCTGCCGAGCCCTCACGGCAGCCAGCGGGCACGGGCGGAGGAAGGACAGGCAGCTTTGGCACACCAGCCACCCTGGCCGTGCCGAGGAGCCCCAGGACGCTCCCAATCACACACGTTCGCGACAGAGAGCAGGCACAAAAGGAGCTGTGTAACACAGCAGCACACGAGCCGGCGAGCGGGGCCTGGCCCGCCTTCTGCCCCGACACCGAGCACCTCAGACCCAGCCCCGCAGAGCCGGCACAACGAAATGCGGCCATGCCCCAAACACCCGCTTCGCCCTCGGTCAGGGGAGCGGCAGCGCATCCTCACCCCGCCGCGGGCACCGCCACCTCCGCAGCCGGACCCGCGCTCAGCCCTGCCTGAGGGAGCGGCCGCCGCCGATCGGGACAGCCGTCCCCACCCGGAGCCCCTGCCCCTTCTCCCACCCTTGCCGCCCTGTCTCGGCCTTGCGGCCGCGCTCACCGCGGCCCGAGAGGACGGAGAGCTGTGACAGGAACAGCGCGGCCCCGCAGAGCCCGCGCAGGGCGCGCCGCCACCACCGCGCCGCCATCTTGGTGCGCCCGGCGGGCCCGGCGCCGCCGCCAGGGGGCGGGCAGGGGGCGGGGCCGGGCGGCTGAGGGGAGCGGCAGCGCCAGGGCGGCCCCGCACGGGAGCGGAGACCGGCAAAGCCCGAAACTCGCTGTGAAACACCCTCACAAATTCGAGAAACACCCTCAGAACCTCAATGCTGCAGCATCAGTACATCACACATGGAGCACGAAAGCGATTGTCCATAAAAATGTAGGTATGTATAAAATATAGAGAAAAAAATCGCCCGCCGCTCCCCGTGTTAATTCTGTCAAGCAGAACAGAAAGCTTTCCCATTGCACCTTCAATGTTTTTTCCCCCTTTTTCTTTTAGAAGCAGGAGATAAAAACAGATCCACAGACGAATACAAAACCAAACACAGACCTATTAAACACAGGTCTGTAAGAGTGAGGCAAAAGTAAAACATCAGCTTTGTATTTGTGTTAATATTTACACACTAAATTGTAGCTTCTGCTTCATGGCTGTGATATTTAAATCACAACTAGAGCTGAATAGCTTAGATAACTGAGCAATACACTTAACACTGTCTAAGCCTGTTAACTAAATAACAGCATATTAAAGTGAAAAAATTGTAAAAATTAATCTCTCAAAAAATCCAGCAACAGCAGCTTTAAAATCACTTCTAACCATAAGCAAAACAGAAACATGGCCAGTTTCAAGTCCAACATACTGTTTTAAAATTAAAATTGTCTCCTTTTCAGCATTCTAACTACTTTCAGCAAATAAAGCAATAAATTACAGACAAAAAGGTTTTTTAAAGTTTTTTTTTGTTTTAGTAAAAAGCCAAAACAACAGCAAACAGAGGAAAAAAATAAAACACTTCACACACAATTACAGCAATTGAACTGCATTCTTGTCAGCATCACAGCAGCCAGTCATCACACCAACTCCACGAGTGCCTTGTTACACTGAGACTTCCAACAAAGACTCTAGTGCATTCAGTCTGTGAACACACATTCTGAAACAACCAAGATGTTCACATGCCCCCCTGCACCCTCAAATTTTTGTTACCATCTGGAGTTAGGAAAAAACCTAATCCAAACTGCTCCTGAGGCACCTATGCACTGCCAAGCTCAGGATGCCAGGTCACAGTCAGGAGCTGGGACAATGTGACTGAGGGAGCTCAGCTCTCCCAGCATCTCCCCTGTCCTTCCCACCCTCCTGATGCCCACCACGGTACAGCCCTGACTGACTTCCACAGCAAACCCACCACATCAGAGTTGTAGGACTTTCTAAATAAGCATTCTGCCGTTCCGGCAGATTGGAAACCCATGCGATTGCTAAAGGAGTTGGCAGGTGCATCTGTCCTCTCATGCTTTTCCCGGAGCACCAGCAGTGCTCCATTTGCTTATTTTGTGTATCCATTAACTGAAAATTCTCTCAGATGAGCATCACTGCTGTGCAGGAAGAAAGAAACATTTCACACAGGCAGCTAATAATTTTTTTTTCCTAGCAGCAACATCAGAATTCTTCTTCTGCATTTGCAATTTGTGAAGTCTTAAATTTCTTGAGTTTTTCAATAGTAGAAGATACTGAAATCTCTCCGTGAACTTTGTTGTCTCTTGTTCGCACATTGACAGCATTATTTGCTTTCTCCTTTTCTCCAACCACTGCAAGACATAGCACAAAATATTACACAATCTACATTAGAAAATAAGCCTAGAGCAAACTTTGTCCAACATTAGAACTTAAATGATATTCAGAAATGTAAGATGCTGCAATTACCTAAAATGAAGTTATACTGAGCCAGCTGTGCATTTCTAATTTTCTTGTTTAACGTGCAACTTTGATCTAGATCCACATCTGACATAAATCCTGCTTCAAAAAACTGGTTGCAAACCTAAAAAAAACCCAAAGAAACCAAAACCCTCTTAGTATTACTATATCGTTTACAACATACATTTGTAAATGCTGCAATTATTCATCTCTCCCAACAATTAATTCATGCATATGCATAATTTCTTTCTTGTGGATGATTATAAGGATTTCAATGAAGTTATCTGAAGAAACCTACACACACAGCAGCACCCCAGCTGGGGAACAATACAAGGTAACATCTATATCAAACATGCTGCTCTGCTACCGCATGTCAAAATCATGTCCTCAGTCTGAGAAAGGACAAAGAGGAGTAGGAACAAACACACTTTTTCTTGCATTAAAAGGAAAGCATGGGACAGGGGTAAAACCAACCATGGCTCAAAAGTGATGTAGTCATGGTGGGAAATGGAAGAAACCAGCTCTGCCTAGTTAGAGATGAGAGTGCTGTAATAAAGCGTTATTTATATAAGGTTTGTCATCCAGGATGCTTTGTCCTTTAATAATCACAGAAGTAGGTACGTAATTAAATAACCCCAAATACTTGAAGTTACACACCCCTTACTCAGACATATACAAATCTTAGACAGAAACTTTTATATTGAAAAATTTACCTTTCCCCCCAAACACGTCTCCAGAGTCATTAAGCATTAATTCCCTGCTCTAGGACAAGCACTAAGGATCCCTGAATCTGCCTGCTGCCATAAGGAGACAAGCTGTCCTCTCACCTGCTGGGCGTACTGTTCCGACGTGGGGCCCACAGGCACAACCATCACCTGCCGTGGAGACAGCCACAACGGCCTGGCCAGCACAGGACGAACAGGAAACAGAGGTGCATTTTACATTTCCAGTCATGTTCCACAACAATCATTGCTGTATAGAATGGTTTACTAAGGATGTTGGTTAGTCTATCATCTCCCTCTTTTCAAGCTCTCACAAAATAGCAAATAGATTGATTTCAGTAAAATGACACATGGGGAAGTTGGACCTTCTGTTTTCTTCACAAATGACTTCACAACTTTAAACATAATTTTTTCTGCATAATTTTCACTTTCATCTATAACTTTACAGGGAAGGTGGAGAGTCAAGTGACTGAAAATAAGAATTAACTCTTCCTTAGTAATTTAAATAGATTAATGAAGAAATCCTTCCAGATCTTATCCAAGACAAAATGATCAATGTTAGAAGTACAAAAATATTTCACGTATTTTGATTAATGAATGTCTGCGTATACGCAAATAATTGCTTTACATGCATCTGACATCCTGCTGGTAAAGGGCACAGTTTTTAAGAAAAAAGGAACAAGAATAATGCAGGACTTACACATTCAATTACAATTCCTATTTCTGCACTATTTTTACTTTTTTCTGCAGTCTCATGAAATTGTATGGATATCACATAACTCAGACCAGAAAACTGGACTTTTTTTGTAATCTTACTAATTTTGAGAAAATGTTAGGGATACTACTTTTGCATTATAATATATGGGGCAATAGGAAGGATATGCAGTTTCTATGTTGTTAAAGTCTTCTGAAAATTCCATTTGTGCCACATACCATTTTCCTCCATAATTTTCTGCTAGAATAGCTATCATTCTCTCCACAGATCCCAAAATAGCTCTGTGAATAATCACTGGCCTTTTCTTGTCATCACCATCCTTACTGAAAAAAAAATCAAGTTGTATTTTTTTTAAAAATACGTTATTTGAGCTCAGACACACGTAATCCTACTAATATTTTTGACTCTACTTTAAACAGAAAGACAAAATTTAGTTAGTTATACTTATGAAAAGTCTACTGGTTTTACTAAAAATGTACTTCAAGTCAGCTGGGCTTTTAAAGAAATTCTGATTTAAAATAATCATGCCTACAGCTAGTGGCAGAGATACACTCTTAAATTTGAGAAGACGCGTGACTGACTCAGCACCATTTTTGTGCATTTTAATATTTTATGTTCTTCCTTGCACTCTCTTTCCATTAGGACTTGCTTTTATTTTGTTGCACAGGAACTTACGTGCCTTTACTTTTCATTACTTCACTTAAATTATAATCCTGAAATTTAAAAACTGGCTTTAAAAAAAAAAAGCCAGATCATAAAAGCTATAATATCTACTGTAGACTATACCACAGGACCAAAAAATTACAGATTCTTACTGTCTCTTCCCCATCTTCATAATATGCAAAAATCAAACACAGCAAGAAATACAACCCAGAAAATGAGTATTCAAGTCAATGTGGCACTAAAATTAATTTGCTCACTGGGCCTAGCTGGAAACCAGCCAGATTTCCACTAAAAGCTGTTTACACTTGGTTGATGTTCAAAGTTAACTAATTTAATCTGATAAAAATAAAGAGCCACTTAGTACAAACATACTTGCTCCTTAGGGCATGTTGAGTTTGTGTGCTGTGTCTTCCAAGGAGACACAATGACTAGGCTGAAAACGAAAACTGACTCAGCTGAGGGGTTTTTAGCATTACTGATGATCAATTGCCTTCAAAACTGGCAGACAAGACAGATAATGAGATTTTTCCTGCATTTACAATTAAAGTGAGCTATCATCACCTTGAGGAAATATCTTCAAGTTCATGACTTGCTCCTCTGCTCACTTGGGGTGTTTGCTCTGCCTACCAGCTGACTGATTTACAAGCTAATAATTTGTTAAATGAGCAATATAGCATTAGTACATAATGGGAATTACAGAAAATGAAAGCTATTGCTTGATTTCATTTTAAAAAGGAAGGTATTACAGAAAATGAAAGCTATTGTTTGATTTCATTTTAAAAAGGAAGATATTCAGCTTAACCACTCACCCAACATAAGTAAGATTAAACCGAATGGGTAGCTGGAAGTCAAGCTGGATGGTAGCACATTGATGGTACCTACCAATTGCATCTTTGATTTTAATATCAATCTGTGAAGCAAAATTACACAGTTACTAAATATAGCTTGCCTGCAGTACATCTGCATTTTTGTCCATCCCGAAGTTATACTGAAATGCTGAGTCACTAACCTTAGGACCATAAAATGCTCCATCTCCTGGATTCAAACTCCATTGCTCTCCGAAGTTATTCAAGCTGTTTTGAAGTTGCTGATCATAACAATGAGAGAGTAATTAAAAAAGGTATAGAAAGGCCTCTCATTACTGGAAGTCAAAGCAATTGCCTTTGAAATTCAAA